TTTAATTATAAGAATTACACAAAACATTTATGAAAATTTATTGAAAAAAAAAAAGAAAAAGTAATAAAAATGAAAGGAACTCATTTTCACATTTCCGTACATTAATTTATACGAGTATATTAAAAATCCAAATAAATAATATGTTTTACATATAGTTTGATTTACTTTAATAGTGACTTTTAGTAAATTTGCAAGAAGAAAATGATATATTTGTATCATAAAATGGCACTTTATCCTAGAAACGTGTTTACTCGTATTTGAAAAGTGAGTTAAAGATTTATCGAGTTTAAAATTACCACCATTAATTATTTTCAAATATATTTATGCACATTACACGTAGATATATTTGTAGATAAAGTTAATTAAATTCATATATATATATATATATATATATTTTTTTTTTTTTATTTGTATTTTATCTGTTAAATTAATTTTTTTCATTCGAGGCGAATACGACCGAGGACGTTTATTAATTTATAATTGATCATTTTTAAGATTAAAGCTTCATTTAGAGAAAATACATTTAGTTAAAAGTTTTATATAAAAAGTGATATTTTTATGTATATTTTTACTTTATTCAAAGATTATCTACTATTTCAAATTACTTATCTCTTTTCCTTCAAATCATTGTGCATTAAGTATTAATACACTGACCTAACATTAATATATACAATTTTTATATTTTATAACAAAAACAAAAACAACAACAAAAATATTGTATTTTTCAATTTATTTATAGTACAGCGATAATATTTACCAAATGTCAACATGAAGCGAAACTTAAGAATTGATCATCAAAAGCTTGAAATTTGAAAAACATTCGTAATAGTAATTTTACATGCTTTCTATGCCTTAATACGACAACAAACTTGCCTAGTAATAATATAACATTTACATGGAGTATTAATGCCCCTTACATGACTAACATTTACATAAAACATACTGCGTGTTCTTTAGTTTTGAATTATCGGAATGTCATAAAAAACGTTTATTATCCGATATTAGAAATTCTTTGGCTTTAAGACTAATACCTTTGGCTTCGCGAAAAGAATCTAAAATATCTTCAGTGCTCGTAGTAGCTTCGACTTGATGACGAAGAGAGAAAGTGAAGCTTTGGATAAAATGCTTGGAATCATAGCCAAGTATCTCGATTACTCGGGTCGTCTGAAAAACGTCTGTCGAATGAAAGGGCAAAATGTATATAAGCCAAGAGTTAAATAATCAGTCCGTTATAATTCCAGGCTCCACTTCATATACGCTCTATGCGTGCCTTTCATCATAAGGTAGATAATAATATTTTTGCGAAGGAATTTAAAATGCCCTCCTCATCGGCAAGATTAAAGAGCTAAGCGATCGCCGCCGTTATCTCTATCGTGATTCGAGGCTCAATTATTCCTGTCATTGCATTAATTACTCAGCGTGGGCCACTATTTCGCATCGCCTTATCGGGGCGAATGTACACGTTCTCCGGTAATGTCGGATGAGAAAGCGGCAGGAGCGGGAGTTTGCGCCCCTTTCATCCTACCGATTTTGCCAACGCGCTTTGTCGAGATGTGCAACCAACGGAGCCGGAAATACAAAAATATATGTACGATACGGATGTACCGATTAAAAGTGTAAGCGTATTTGTGGCAAATGGAAGAGTGAGAGAGTGAGTGAGAGAGAGAGAGAGAGACGAGAGAGACGAGAGAGACGAGAGAGACGGGAGAGACGGGAGATTGATAATAGTTGAAATTTTGTAACGAGTAATCAACAAATTAAATGCAATTTTGTACATTTGTCATTATTTATATATACTTTCTCGACAATTATCCTCTCAATTATTGGCAATCACGAACTTTACATTTCTTTCTCAATAATTAATGTAAATCGGCACGTATTTGCTTAAACATTTAAATATGTAAAAGAACATAGCAAAACCTTCTCCCAGGACTTAATTGCAATTACAAGTTTACATAACCATTAATATAAAAAACGTATTAGAATATTCGATTAAAAAAGTAATTATTATAAATTCGTTACGGGGAATATTGAAATTGTATTCTTTAATTTAGGCATTGATAGTGACAGACGTAGAACGAAAATGGTTAAGCTTAATAGTTTGATCTTAAAGATTAAATTCCAAAATTTATACTTTATGTGGTATAAATATTACGCGTAATTTATTGTTCGATTGATAATAATATTATATTAAATTTTGCTCGATATCTGTCGTATGAGTTCTAACGATACGCGCATCACTACTAACGATTACGTTTTATAACCGAAACAAATATCTCCTCCTCCCCCCCCTCCCCACACACACACACACACACACCTAAACACCCGACCCAATCACACGCCTAAATTTTCCCATCAAATTATTTTTGATTAAAATATGTTTAAAACGTTTTTGTATATTAGTTGTTATTTAATTTTAAATAATTTTTAACTTTTAATATGAAGAGTTTGTTTCATTTAATAGAAAGAGAAATAAAATTTATTCCATTAAAGTTAAATTTAAACTAAAAATTTTTCAATTTTTCAATTTTTTTTTTTCTTTTTGATATTTAAAATAAATGAGTAATTTCCAATTATCAATTATTTTATTACTTCACTGTATAATATTAGGATGTGATTCGAATGATTACATATTTTACAAATTTTGCTTACAAAGTGTATGTTCGAAATAAAATTGTAAATATTATTTGTTTATAAAGAATATTGTTATTATAATATATACATATTATTAATTTTGTTTAATTAGATTAATTCTGATGGTATTTTATTTATTATAGAAATTAAAGTTTGTCTAGGATAACTAAAAGAATAATTTAAAAATAGCACATTAACCATGGAACATTGCGTACTTGGAAGAAAGCAATTGCTTCTTCGTAAAGCATCTCACTACCATAAGATATTCTTTGTCTCAAATAGAATTGCACTTGCATAAAAAGGATTTATGTTTTCAAAAAGAAAGAGGATAATAAAGAAGAAGAAGAAGAAGAAGAAGAAGAAGAAGAAGAAGAAGAAGAAGAAGAATTTAATTTCATGTCGAGAGAGTGTTTTCTTCGTCGATGACATTCCTCAATGTGAAATTTCTAAAGTTTAGACACTTATTGTATAATAAATGCTACCTGCGGTTAAATGATCGACTTTGCACGGGAAATGTATTTAGGAGTGAAAGGATGGCTCGTATAATGTCGCTTACAAGTGGACCGGATGCGAGCAGGGATTCTTAAAAAGGGCAATGGGACAATCGCTAAACGAATGAAAAAAAAACCTGGTAAATGCGCCGGCGTTAAAGGAAAAGGAGCACCGCAGCGGAGATCGCGAGAGTGTTGAAGTCACGAGACTTCGGAGAATCGGGCTGCACAAGGGGCCAAAGCTCGAAGAGTCCCGGAACATTCAAATTGTGGGGGTCTGGATCGATAGGTTGATAGGTGGACTGCGGCCGATGGGGACGAGTCGTCCTCGGGTAATTTAGCTGTTAATCAGGGAGCGCTATCGCTTTTTCCCGGGGGAGAATGCGGCCGAGGCGCGGAGCCTTCGGAGACGCGACGTAGACGCGACGTAGACGCGACGTAGACGAGGCGGACGAGGTCCCCTGTCATTAATCGGTGAACCAGTTTCTCAGAAATAAAATGCCCCGGGGCGGGCGTCGAGGCGGTTGCGGTCGTCCGTGGATTCTCAGCCGGGGATATGCCGCCGACTTTTCACGCGTCGAACGATTCGCGCTAATCTATTACTCTAACTCCGAGCCGATCGAGACTCGGCATCCGTATCTTCTCAATCACCTCGTGCCGTTTGCCAATGTAGATTACGACGGGTTGGTGATGTGCCTCGTAACCGACTCAGCTAAACATATTCCATCGATGCATCTTGGATCCTTTACATTCTGCTTAAGCATTAATCACTTTACTTATATCGGCAATTTGCGAGGAGGTATCGCCGTAAGAACAAAATTACCACACGTCGTTTTTCAATATTTTATTAAAATCTCGGCTCCCATCGCTGTAATGAATCGTAGAAGAAATTAAGATAATTTCGTCAATATTTCACGAAAGACAATGGCCAAGTTAATGGCACTCGGATTAAATGAGAAAAAAAATTCGTACTCCCATCGCGTAATTTCCATAATTGTACGTGCGTGCGGTGACCTTAAACGCGCTAATAAGCAATAGCAATTTCATCGAGAAACAGATCTATTTTGATATAACAAATTTCATTGTCTTCAAACTAATGAGAATAATGGCTTTACAGTAGAAATTTAGATTTAGAGGAGTAACGATGTTAGCGCAATACAACGACTATAACTGTCACTTTCAAACTTGCCACCTGCCTTCATTTAATACAATTTTCGGCATTCGTCAAATAGGGAACACGAATTTAAAAATTATGGCAATTATTGATAAGATAATTATTAAACGCCAAATGAAATGTTAATGTAATGAAGCTTGAGCTGGAGGATTATTTTGTAAGGGACTCTTGTCTTGCCGTGGGAATTTATTTAGAAACAGATGTAAGATGAGCAAACGTTAAGATTAGCTTGACACGAGCCTAGGACGTAACGGTGCGAAAGGTTTCTCAGACGATAACACCACGCGCCTTAGCACGTGGACTTAATAGCTAATACCCGCTCGTACACTTATAATCGAAAGTACAAAAACGAAAAAGTTTGCGCGTGAATTTATATAAAAGACATGAGAGAGAGAGAGAGAGAGAGAGAGAGAGAGAGAGAGAGAGAGAGAGAGAGAGAGAGAAAGGGAGTGGAACCGCTGCAAGAGGAACGAGTGTCGTCGTCGTCGTCGTTGAAAAGAAAAAATGAAAGCAAAACAAAGCAAAAACAAAAAAAAAAAACAAGAAACAAAAAAAAACAATATAAAGAGAGAAAAAGCCCAACGTAATGATCGCCGAAATTGAAAGTGAGCCGTGGGATAATCCGCTGCCCGGGTCACAGACGTGGCTTGTGGGATCGACTTTGGAAGTGGATCGGTGCCGATCGGTTATGAGGGACTCACCACCAGTTGGCGCGAACCCCGTTGCGGGTCGCGATCAGCAGCAGGAGGACGAGCCCCGCGAGCCGCATCCTCGGAGTCGTGGCCAATGTTGCCTCCTGGTGCCGGTTGCCCTCGCTCGGTATCTCGCTCGTTCGCTCTCGCTGCCTAAGTGCCTGGACGCACTCAGGTCGGACGCGGCATCTCGGCGCCCCTCCCTCCCCCCACGATCAGTGGGCACTGGGGGCCCTTGGCATGTTCCGCGTCGCGCACCTCTAGGAGCTGAGGCTCGTTCGTACTGTGAATGCGGGAGATGCTGTCGTGCCGGCGCTCGCGTGCGGACTGAGCCGCGGAGCCGCCGGGGAGAGGAGGTGAGCGAGCCGCGGCCCCCGGGGGCCGAGGGGGGGCGGGGCCAAGCGCGGCGATTCGTCAGCGTCCGGGGGTGGACGCACGCCGGGGTACCGCTCCCGGTCGACGCCGTGATGCGCAGCCCGATGGCGTCGCCGGCCAATGTCGACGGCTCATAGGGAATCGCGAGCGCCCCGGTGGTCGGTGCCACTGCTCCGGATGGTAGCCTCGACGTTTCGACCTCGGCGGCCTCACACTTCGCCTCAGACTCGTCCTTCTTATAGCCGAGCATCCGTTCTCCATTCCTCGATCGACACCATTCGAACCTCATTTTTCCCACGCGTACAATTAATTACCAATGACCCAAATGATCTTCTTCATTTCGTCCTCCTCGCTCTCTCATCTTATTCCCATGTCGAATTACATTTCTCCGTCATCCGTGCGCTTCATCATTTTAATGCCGAAATTTTGTATTTTTCAATGAATCGGAACTATTATTAACAGATCCAGGATCTTTCGTCATCGTGATCATACCTACAATTTACATTTCTACAATACATTTTTCATATTGACATTTTCTATTTAAATAAGCATAAACAATTTCTATTATTATTCGTCATCGATAATATAATAAATGGAAAAATTGAAATTATAGTAATAGACGTAAATTCATGAAATGGCCCGATATTTAAAAACTTGATAAACTTCATTCGCGTAGTTATTTTAGGTTTACGACATTCCAATAAATACAAAATAATATATATATATATATATATAATTAATTATAATAGCCAATTGGTTTTCTCGTCTTTGTCTTTTTTTTTTTTTTTTTTTTTTTTTTTTTTTTTTTTAATTTTATTTGAAAATTTAATAAAAATCTATCAAATAATTGTGTCCAAATATATAATATTTTCATCTCAAAATTGCTTTCAACTTGTTAAATAATGCATTTATTTCTATTATTTAATCCATAACGATTTTATATTTCTATCCCTTATATAGATATTTTTATGAGTGAAACTCCATGGAAGGGAGTACAAGATCACTCTTATTAGACAGACACTTCATCATATTAAGAAAGAAAAAGAAAATGCCTACATTGGCATTTATTGGCTTAAATAATGTTTATCGAAAGCAGAACATTCGTTTACTTTTATTATAAGATAAAATATATATTATTACAACATACAACATGATTGCAAATACGATGTGTAAGGATTTTAAATCCGAGCTTTATTGATTTTAATACAAAAAAAAGTATTTTTCATTAAAATTCTGAAAAAGATAAAAGCTTTTAAAGCATTTCAAAAAGCATGAGCAAGTGACTGATTATTTATAAGGTAGGGCGTTCGTTAATAACAATTCGCTATGATACTTTAAATGGACTAATGATTTATAAAATAGATCTATTAACAATATTAATAATATTAATATAATACTATAAAGTATTTATTTATTTATTTTTTTTTTTTTAATATTTAATGACTATGTATACTATAGCCATTACATGGTAAACTTTATATACAATTAACTGAATTTTACTTGCTTCTATTTATTATTATTATTATTATTATTATTATTATTATTATTATTATTATTATTATTATTATTATTATTATTTTTGTTGTTGTTGCTTATTTCACTGTTCATTGTTTTCTATAATACTATCTGTTTTATATGATTAAGGATTAATGTTCTTTATATAACAATCAATAATTAATATTTATATGTCTAATATTATTAATATTAATTATATAACTAGGACATAATTATTAATTAAAAAATAAGAAAAAACATTTAACACAAAATGACTAATGCAATTTGCTGTTGGAATAGAAAGTAATCTTATTGGTATTAATATAATAAGTTGTATTGTATATTGTAAATATATTGTAAATTTTAGTTGTTCTAGAATGCTTACACTTTAGAAATAATATCTCCTTTATGAATTGATCCTTTAAAATAAAAATTCGATTATACACTCTGGTATCATAACGGGAATAATAACTTTTCATTTTTAAGGAGCCATGTAGTAGGAAACAGTATTCACACACGTCGTATATGTCGTACACACACGAACACACACAGAGAGAGAGAGAGAGAGAGTGAGAGAGAGAGAGAGAGAGAGAGAGTGAGAGAGACATACATTTTATGCCCACGTAATATAATTGTCCAAATTGAAAACATATTTCTCACTAGTAAAAATAATTTTTAAACTTTTATGCAAAACATATATTTATTTAATATTTATTAAGAAAACAATACAGAGAATAGAATTTAATTAGAAAGCAAGTTTAATAATGTAAAAGTATAATTAATATTGTTTGCTACATGTTTATTTATTTTTGTGAATAGTTTATGCAAATGTTTATTTTTTTTAAATGCATAAAAAATGCAATACGTCATTTTGTATTCCATCGGTTAATTTATGAATTTCTATATAAATAATGAGTAGAGTTGTTGGCCTCCTCCATTAATTTATGTGTAAAATAATTCGTCAGTGTCCTATTCAAGTGAATTTATACAAATGTTCCTCTATTCTATTGAAAACGATCAACAATTTTAATAAAATGACAATTCTCGCGCATAGATAAATATGTAGTAGCGCGACTAAAAAATTTGTTTGAAAATGTGTCTCAAATTTACCGAAATAATTATTTAAAAATACATCATAATCGATATTTATCCTTTGTTATTTTTAGTTTAAACGAATTAAAAGAGATTAAATATTAATCCGTATTAACGTCATCGAACATTAGCTTTGATTATCATATTGAACAACAGATTAGAACAAAGATCAGATTCCATTATTCATCTTCTCGAAAGCTTGATGGAACGTATGGGACTTGTTTAGACTTGTAATATCATTTTACAATTTTGTTAATGAATAATTGAGGAATAATCAGTAAAGTAATCTGTGGATCTATAGGAGTATGATTCTTATGCTGTCAAATAATTATCAATTATCGATAGTGCTCGCAAGAATGTAGTAAAAGCGCGAAAACTTTCATTAAACGGGTTTTATTAATAGAGTCGAAATGTTCCGACGTTGTAAATAAATAATTATTTCGATCTAATTTGCCTGAAAAGGCAATAGTAGAATTTTTCCGCCTCAATTAAAAATGCAATTTGCTTTCGAGGCAATCTCGGGTTTTGACAGAAAATGCCAACACAATAGATCGCAACGAGAGAATTGAAACATCGCAGTCATTGGATGAAGAGGAAAAATGTGAGTGGAAAAGAATGTAAAAGAGGGTCAGAAGAGCGCATATTTTCAAGTCCATCTCAGAGTAGAGTGGCTGGGGCGGATCAGCGTGGGATGTAAGGGAGGGAGTGGGGGGGATGGGGCGACGACGGGTGATACGAGGTGGAGGATGAGAACGTGGCGATAGGGGCGGGTGGGAGGTGTGTGTGTGCGTGCGTGCGTGCGTGAGAGAGAGAGAGAGAGAGAGAGAGAGAGAGAGAGAGAGAGAGAGAGAGAGAGAGAGAGAGAGAGAGAGAGAGAGAGAGAGAGAGAGAGAGAGAGAGAGAGAGAGAGAGAGAGAGAGAGAGAGAGAGAGTGAGAAGGAAAGCTGAGGGTAATTCGATAAGGACAGTGCGTGTGCTGAGATGAGGCGGGGAGCTCTTCTTTCTGCGGCGGAGGAGATTCGTATCGGATTCGCGAGCCCGCAAACAGGATACCTCGCTAAGTCCCTGATCAGACAATTTTGTATGGTTTAGCCGGCTGATTGTCTCCGCTCTTTTTTAGTCTTATTGCACTCAGGGCAAGATGTTAACGTGACTTTTTCTATCAGCGCAACAATGACTCGCCGCGTCTCAATATACGCATCGCTCTCTCCTCACTCACTCCTCTTCACGGGCTTCGGATGGAATGTCCTTTGGTTAGGCTCGGCGATAGCTGCGAGCCTTAATTTTTCAGTTATCATTTTTTATTACACGAACAATCATCGACATTTTTAATAGTGAATCTTTTCACTAATATTCCCTACGCAAACGAAATTCTTAGGGATACAAAAGAAACTCCAATTAATAAGGTTTTTATTATTTGTCAAACGTGATGGTTATGACATTACGTAATTTAAATATAAGATTTTTCGAAGGACGGTTATGCATTTGTAAATGTCCGGATGTGCACGGAAATTCTTTTATTGTCATTTTAGCAACTATTCAAACAAAATTATTTATTATCCTTTAAGTATATTGTGTATATGCGTTCATTATCAAGAATATCGTATTATCACGTGGAATTATGTCTTCAATTGTAAAATCCTCGTTTCAATCCATAAGGCACTCGATAATTTAAAAGCAATTGTAATTCAAATTTTAATATATAAATCCAGATCCATGAATGCATCTTTTATTTTTCATTTCACTCAAATTTGGGGCAACTTTTCGTCATTTGGAATAAATATTCCATTACGAACAATACTTTTTATCAATCTTATCATTAATTTTTTGTAATTTTTTTAAATAATATTTTTAGTATGAAATACTTTTAAATATATTAAAAGAAAAAGAAAAGAAAAAAAAAAGAAAAGAAGAGAGTATTGCATAGGCTTTCGATTTGTTCTCTTTAAACTCAAATAACAAATTCTTGTATGCTTAAACGTTAATCCGGTAAATCTCAACCTAATCTTAACAATCTGAAATTGTCAAATATATCATTTAATCTTCATGCATCATTTAAGCGAACTCACATTAAATTTTTATGCGTTTTAATCAAAATTTTTAATTTGATAATTACAAATAAGAGATTTTGCTTTTGATTGTTATAAAGGGCGTTGTTTGTTTTTAAATAATAACACTAATTATAAATCAAGGTACTATAAATTAAGATAATGTTTTTTAAATAATTTTTGTTCTTTTTTTTTTTTTTCTTTTTTTTTTTTTTTTATAAAATATACTACAAAATAAATCGCAGTCTATAATGAATTTATATCGAAAAGAAAATAATAATTGAGAGTTATATAAAAATACAAATT